AGGTACAAGGGATCCAGGTGTTCATCTCGTAGTATCCGGCAGAGTAAACAGCTCCCAACCTAATAATTCTTTAGTCAAAGTAGTTTGTAAGACCAACACAACTTACACTAAGCCAACAATACTTCCGGCCATGACAGCCTCAAGCCCAGCAATAACGAGATAGATGACGGGTACTGCCCATAGATATCTCCAAGACGACTTCTTCCAACCGTGGGTAAACATGGCGATCAGAACTGCCCCCATATGGAAGCATGCATATATGATGAGAGTCCATAGCAAAGTAAATCGCCAAACATCTAAGACATAGTAGAGGGTAAATTGTTTGTCTGCGGTGGTGTCATATAGAGTCTGGACGTTCAGGGACGGGAATCGCGGCGTTTGATAGTCTGGTGGAGGAGTATTTGGCAGGGCCATCTATCGTTTGTATCAATTAGTGCTTTGTTCACAAGAAGGATGGAACTCAATCGGAACATACCCTGCCATCATGGAGGCTGCAATAGGTCTCAGCTTGGCCGATTCTTGTGGTGTCGTTGGGAATATGATTGAATATGATTATGATTATGGGGTGTTGGAATTAGCAGTGACAGGGAACAGGGGTCTAAGGTGCTGAGGGAGCTGAAAGTGCCCCCGGAACGTCATCCCCAGGCCTCGGCAAAAGCCCGTGAAGTCGGCATGCGCAACCGCAACCGCGACCTCGGAATTGTCAACCTAGATCCATCATCAACTCTGCATCGACAACTCCCTCACATTCACCATACAAACCGAATGCGTCGATATGTCCTCCGATAGACTCCTCAGAACAGTTCTGCAGCACTACCCAGATGTCCACGATGCTGCAAAGACCGAGCAGATCATCGGGTCGACAACACATCTCCTCACCGAGCTCACAAACCCTCTAAATCTCGGCCTTCTCACGTCGCAATTGTTAACGGCCCCTGCGATATGGTTCCAGCCAGGCGGCATCCGCACTTCGGTTCGAGTTATCAGCATATACAATACCGCGGCCGCGCGCATCCACAACTATGAAGTCGCTAATCGCGATCGGAAAGAATCCCATGAGGGCGGTGGACTGAGCTGCGAAGAATGGACGCGCGCTGTCGTCAAAGGAGCGGACGATCGATCGAGGCGATGGCAGCATCTTTTGGTTCTGACTGGTGTTCTCATGGGAATGGAGTCCAGCAATCGGCAATCTTTGTCGCGTGGCATGAGGAATACTCTTGAAGAGGCGGTAGTGATGGCGGCAAATCTGGCACTCGAGAGTCGCGACGAAGATGGCCCGGTCGCAGGCGCATCGGTTGTCATGGCACTTAACTTTGCATTTCCATTGCTGTCTGACTTCCATCGAAGTCTCATCAACTGCAATGCTCTGTTGCCTCTTATTGTATGGACGGTGACAGCTGAGGAGGGCCTCGGCCACGGCCAATTCTTGGCGGCAGTGAGCTCCGAGGTTGTCGAATCACCAAACCATCTTCTCGCATGGTCGCCAAATACGCCCTCGTTTCGATTTATCCAGGAGTTGGATAGGCGACCTACTCTAGCCAACATGGGGCCGCTGGCGAAGCTTGCTGGGTATGTTGTTCAACAGGCCACAGACACACAGGCTGTGATTGCCGCACAAGGCGCTCTTCTTGCCTTTAGCAGCCAGGTATTGGATATGTGGCGGTTGAATCGTTTGAGCGACATAGATCCAGCGCTTGAGGGCAATATGCTGACCCAGGAGACCATTACAAGCACCTGGCCAGTTCTATGGAACTTGCTGAGGAAGCTCATGTTTGGGACGGTTGCTATTCTGCAGGCGATTGTCTCACGAAGCCTCCTCGACCCGCGCATGCTCAACGATATGGCTGCTCCTGTCATCGCATCAAAATCTCTTCGCATATTACGCAACATCTTCTTCATCTCCTCAAGGAACGGCAACAACGCGTTCCAAGTGTACAACTTCACATACCTCACGTCGATCGACTCGATCTCTCGGAGTGCCCCTGCTTGCCACAGTTTCCTCCAGGAATTCCGACCTTCCGAAGATGCATCCACGTCAACGACATATCTACAAAGAACTTTGGACCTATTCTACCTTAATATCTCTGAACACTTACCACTTACTCTGCCAACTGATGCATGCGATGCTCTTATAATCAAACCAGCAATTGCATATATCTCACATGAAGGACCTACGACACAAAATATGGTTGAGATCTTCGAATCCGCACATAGCGCCATTCTGTCAACCATATCTTGCCCTCAACATAGCCCTCTCACCATCGAACTCACACCTTTCTATATCGCTCTGTTGTTCAACTCATTCCCGCAGCATATCTCTTCCCGCCAATTCAGAGTGGCCTTCAAGACTGTGATGCAGATAGTATCACCCCCCTTCCCCATTGCAGAGCTGGAGCCGCAGCTATCGGAGACACTTCTAGAGATGCTTCGAACTTCAATTTCCACGGCGTCGACGAGTCTGCTGCCACCAACAGCAGATATCGTCGCACAGGCTGCGATGGAAGAGACTCAGGAGGAACGTCATTCTCAGCAGAGTTCACTTGCTTTAGCTCTAGTTGATTCACTTCCATACCTACCTCTTCCTCTGGTGGAAGAGTGGTTCACGATTGCTGCTCAAGCCATGAATGAAATTGAAGATCCCGTACTAAGGGAACCAGTCAAGCAACGGTTCTTGCAGATTCTCGTTAGTGGAGAGCTAGACGTGGAACGAGCAGCTATTGGGGTAGCTTGGTGGGGAACTCGAGGAGGTCGAACACTGATTCTCGGTGCAAGCGCGGAATCTGCCATGATGAGCGGCGCGCTTCCTGGGCCTGACAGGTCTAGCCATCTGTAAAGATGACATCCCTCGGCACAATGTTGCCATAGTGCGCATGCACTGTTCTGGATGAATTCTTGACCTTGCCGGGTCGGAACGTGTATGCTTGCCGTAAAGTCAAAGACCAGCTTGTTGCACGTTGCATTAAGGATGTGGCAAAGTAACTCAAGCGGCAGTTATTCGCAACTTTAGTTACGCTCTGGAAGGATGACGTTGTGAAACATTTCAAGGGGTTTCGGGTTGTTGGGCTGATCATCTGGCTATCGTGGGAAACCCCGCAGGAAGCATGTGGGCGTTACTGGTGTCAGGCTTGTTGTCGCGAGTCTTGATGCAATTGTGTCATTTGTGCTTGAGTATCTAGCCTCAATAGGCGATTTGTGTTGGAAGCAGATCGAGATCTACTAGGAATTGGGTATGTCTCCGTTGACGAAGCCGGGCACGCCGGGCGACGATAGTTTGCTGAGAACGGGCAATCACCACACGTGGGGACAGAGAGTATTGGACAGGGCACGAACTGGATGCCCAGAAGTTTGACTTAGCTTGGATGTCTTTGTTTGGTGTGGTGGTCTGAGGAATACCGAACAGCGAGGCGTGTTGGCCTGCCACCAACTCAGAACCTGGTGAACTTGTTTGGGGGCAAAGATTGCAAGTCATACCCGGCTCATATAAGATAATACGACCTTAATAGATATGAAAATCTGGGAATGCACTCATCAATATCAAGGAAACAAGCTACGATAGGCAATCGAAGGATCAATTGCCAAGGCAAGGGTCCTGGTGAAGCGGGGTTGCCATTGCTACAGCACCTACGGAGTATTCTCTCACTATCAAGAGTGAGCAGTTGTTCTGGAACTTGAGCGGGGAGTCGAGACAAGGTTGCTAGGCCCGATTCCGAGCGCGATCTTGACTTAGACCCCGTCTTGGCAAATGAGGGGAGGGAATGTCACTCAGACAATTTCATCCTCTGATGCCAATTCTTCCTCTCAAGTGTCCACTTCTGCTTCACCTCGTCTTTCATGGCGAAGCTTCAGGCCAAAGTTCATGTTCCGTTGCTCCTCGGCCTTGATCTGAGTCGATCACCCGGGCCCTGAAGATCTGGACTCTTGTTGTTAGACCGCAACTTGGTTCTCGATGCCGATAGCTTGGTACCGATACAGCGCAGAGCTGGCATAGCCACAGTCCGTGGAGCCTACAGGTCAGCTCGTCCAGGTTCTGGGACCTGGTTTGGACCCTGCGAAGCTGGGTCGCGGAGGGTCCGTTCATTGCTTGTTTGGCCTAGCGTTTCCCTGTTAGATCAAGGCTAATGCGCTTTTCAGGCAGATCAATGGCCTGAGAGGCTGCAATACGTACCTTGCCTGAGCTATCTCATCACAGACAAGAAACATGACGACACCAGACAAGACAAGCTGAGATGTGCTGATCGTGCCAATTGCTTGCACAAGAGGCTGATTCGTGGGAATGTCGCACTCACTGGCTAAGCAATGCACAAACAACAGGTTTTTGCCGAAAAACAAATATAGTACATACAGTACAGAGTGATAGAGGAGGGGGAGGAGGGGCATCAAGGGACCCAAGTATCGTGAGAGGTATCTACGTTCGATTTCTTGGCAGGGTCTGTCACGGAGAGCTTATTCCAAGGGCATTCGGGTTACAGCGAGTCCCAAGAATTTGATCACCAGCTTCAAATTCCCACGCTAAACTTAGCTTTGGGCTGAGTTCATGTACCTCATGGCACGACAGCTACAGCAATGTAGCTCAGTCAACGCGCGTTCCTTGTGGGACAGGAGCACATCGTCTCAAGATTCTGATACCCATCTATCAAGTCTCCCAGGTTGCAGGGTACGTACAGTACATGGGGTGTTCCGAAGCTAAAACATTCTGCTCACTAGTCTATGCAGCCTCAGCTTTCTAAGACAAGGTCTATGCCGCAATGGAACAGCGGCACGTCATTCCTCCCTGTGATGGAGGAGGGAGGAGGGGGAGCTTGTTGATCCACATGATGAAGATGGGGAGCTCCAAGTTAGCTTGGAGGGGGAGGGAGGGAGGGAGCTTCTCTCACATAGGTATTAAACAGAAGCTTGCCCTCTCATGTTCGGACTATTTTTCATTCATACTATCGCACAATCTAACTATCTACATCACCAACTATCTATTCTCTCCCAAAACAACCCCTTCAATACTCAACATGTCTGACAGCTACGGTGACAACAGCTACGTATGTTCTCTCAGTTCTATCCACCCTCCCATGAAGCTAACTCTTTTTCAGGGCTCCAGCCGACGTGACAATGACAACGACAACAGCTACGGTTCTTCCAACCGTGATAACGACAACAGCTACGGTTCTTCCAACCGTGATAACGACAACAGCTACGGTTCGTCCAACCGTGACAACGACAACGACAACTCTTATGGCTCTGGCAACAACAACAGCAGCAGCTACGTGGGTGCATACTAGTCCTTTATTCTCGCATATACTAACACAGCTCAGGGCTCATCTGGCCGCGACAACAACGATTCGTATGGCTCCAGCAACAACGATTCGTACGGATCCAGCAACAAGGACAACGACAACTCTTATGGCTCGTCCGGTAACTCTGGCCTGAGCGGCGGCAACGACAGCTACGTACGTGAATTGTCATGCCAAGCAAATCCTTCATGACTAACGTGAATATTAGGGCTCCAGCCGTCGCGACAATGACAACGACAACTCTTATGGATCTAGCAACAAGGACAGCGATTCTTATGGCTCCAGCAACAACAACTCTTACGGCTCTAGCAACAAGGACAACGACAACTCTTATGGATCCAGCAACAACGACTCCTACGGTTCTGGTAACACATACGGCTCCAGCAACAACGACTCCTATGGCTCCAGCAACAAGGACAATGATTCTTATGGTTCCAGCAACACATACGGATCTGGCCGTGACAATGACAATGACAACGACAACAACCGATCAGGTGGTTTCCTCGACAAGGTCAAGGACAAGGTTCAGGACAAGCTCAGCGGAAACAAGAACAGTGGTGACAACGACTACTAAGTATGAATGTTTGAGAGAGATTCTAGCGTGTTAGTGTTAGCTACTTATTGAGTGAGATGATATATTCCTCGCTCCTGAATTGAATTTCATTTGTGTCTATATGTTTTCAACCAGATGTCTTGTGAGAAATGCTTCACAAGATCCCTTATATAAGTCTTTCCAGTGAACAAAGTAATGCTAGTGTTTGCTATCTCAATCATATAGTGTCCGTCGCTATCTTGACGGGTGAGCGACACTGACATATCCGGTCTCTCTGGGTTCAGCTATTGAATTGCACGAAGTAAGCAATATTATCCTTTGTGAAAAACGCTCTCATTGTACGCATATGCAAGTTAAATAGAACATAGAATCACATCATCGTTTTGCCGCTTCATCCCAGCTAAACTAACTTCTTATCAACCTTGATAAAAATCGCACCATCCGTGATGCGACCCTCGCAATCCATGAGATGCACAAACCGGTACCCATTACCCAGCCTATCGAGTCTCATGCAAGCCCAAGCCGCCAAATCATCCCTTCCAATCTCATCATCACGCACTGTAAATCGCACCCATGAGAGTTCATCGACGACATGGGGCACAGGGGGAAATTCGAGACGTTCACCAGCAAAGTCAACCATGTTGCCACGGTGTGTCTTTGTGCGGGCCTTGTATTCACCCTCGCGCTCGTGTCCTTCGTTAGGGACAGGGCCGCCGTGGAATTCATCAGGTCCTTCAACGTGAAGCTCGACTTTGACGTAAGGCTCAAAGCCTCTGGTGGATGTGTCGCCTGGTGGGAGGGGGATGTTTTGAGCGGCGAGGACTGTGATTGTGAGATGGAGTGATTTCCGGATGATGGTGTTTTCGGTTTCTTCGTCGCTGCGGTTTGGACGGTAGCCTGATAGAAGTTAGATGAATGGTTAATGAGATGATGGCCTAGAATGAGTATGTACCTTGAGGTTTGAGGACATATCCTCCTGTTCCAGCAAACATGCCTTCGTTGAGCATCATGCCCTCATCCCACCTCTGCCAATTGAGCGCAACGATCTGAATACCCTTGCGCCAGAAAACAGAAGGGTCAAGATTGGACGATCCTATTCGCAGACCCCAAGGATAAGTTCTCATGAGAAAGTGTCGATTGTGGTTGAATAGATCAGACGCTTGCTTCTCGTGCACATCGATGACTTTCTTCTCTGACAGGGAAAAGATGTGTGTGGGCATACCAGCTTCTGGCTGCGTCAAGCTCTTGAAAGACACGCCCCGCGCATGGAAGCCCATACGACTCAGCTCCTGTATAATCTTTGCCGGCTTCTTTGGCGGAGCATCACCAGCTTGAGCACCAGGGGCTGGTGCCCTGTCCTCCTCCTCACTCTCCTCTTGAGTGGCATCTGCACCAGGTGGTGCATACTTAACCTTGACGATGAGCTTTCGACGCAGTTCATCTGGACTGGGTAGGGCATCAGGTTCGCTCTCGGGCTCTGGGACGAGAAGGTCGCCCCAGACTTCCTTCATAATGCGGACCATTGCAAGTTGCTGGTCCGGTTTGCAATGGACTTCAAGGGAGACGATGACGGGCAAGTCGCTGACAACAAAGGCGCTCTCGCGAATGGCCTCACAGACAGCTCTGAAGGAAATCTCCTTGGTGAGGGTGTAGCCGTGCAGCACACGGGGCTCAACGATAGCGGCTTCGGGCTCCGTAGACTCGGGATCGGCGCCCGGAGCGGTAGCGGGAGCGGTAGCGGGCTGTTGGTCGGAGGCGGGGTCGGGGTTGGGGTTGGGGTCGGAGGACTCATCCTTATCACGGAGACTCGTCTTTGCGAGCTTTTCTTTGAGCTTTCCAAAAGTGCTTCTCTTTTTTGTCTTTCTTACAACCTTTTTCACACCTCTCTCCTCATCGCTGCTGGAAGGACTACTCGTGCCCTCAGGGTCAGACTCATCGCCATCCCAGACATCGATCTCGATACAGCGCCCTCCCCGCAGCAGAGTTTCGGTGTAAGGCCTGGTCGAGCTGTCACTTGAGAGTTGGTTTCCGGTGAGATAAGTGTTGTGGCTGGAGCTGATGAAGTAGGAAGCAAGGGGATATGAGAGATCTTGGGGTTTAGGCGGGGTTGTAGCCGCTGCATGAGACGACGTCATCCAGGCCATGAAGCCATCCAGATCGAGGTGGTCTCTGGCGAGAAGTTCTTGGACAGCGGGTGAGGAGACATCTTGTTGAGCATCTGTGATGAAGGAGGCAAGTCTATCCCTACTCCAGGTCTTGTCTTGTCGATCGGCCAGAGACTGGAATAGCTTGACGAGTTGGCCGCTGATGATGGGGTCGACGTTGGAGAGGGAGCGAGTAACTTCGCTGGCACCTCCGCCAGCTTTGAGCTCATGAGCCATGTTTCTGGCTTTGGTTTTGTGGTGATGATTTTGACGTGGGTTTTTGTTTTTTCTAACCTTTGAAGAGGTGAGGGAGCGGAGAGAGCGGAGAAAGGAGAGGGCGATCAAGTGATGTTGGATTCGTGAAGTTGTTCGCTGTCTTTGAGTCTGACCTTGACCCAGAGTCAGAGCCAAAACTTGGCTTTCACTGGCGTCTCCAGCTGTAACTGGGCCCTGCATGTTCTAGACTCAGAACATCCAATTGATCAAGGTCGTTAGGTACCTTAGTTACTGCAAGAAAACAGGAAACTGAGTTAGGTGATCAACAGTCAGTGAATTGATCAACACCTGGCTGCCTCTTCTTTTCTTCAGCTATCAAAGGGTCTATCAAGGCCACCTTTTCTTCTCCCCTATGGTCTCATATTCAATCAAGCTCGGGCCCAAGACAGCTCACGACAGCTTCAGCTTCAGCGCTAGACCCGCTACAAAGACACCAAGACCCCTAAACGCCCTGTTCTGACTCCACCAGACAACACAGCACAGCACAACAAAGCCAGGATGCATTGTCAAGGAAAGGTACACAGTCGTGCTTGTTGCATACTCTACATAAATCCGATGACTTTCTTTAAGTATTATTACAGATCTCATGATTTTGTTATGCATACCTACCTAGGTAGTTATGGTGTGTGCTATTTTTAGTACTCAGCTGAACTAGGTTCACGATGCAAATCACGGTCACTGCTAAGGCTCGGTGAGGCCCTTTACTACCTTATGTAGACTTGCACACATATTGCTCTGAACACTTTTACTTTTACTTTCACATACATACGAGAGAAACTCAACTTTGACATCTAGGATGACTTATCATTCCGGCACCTCCAGCTGCAGTTCTCTTTTTAAATCTTCAAAGTAACGTCTGGTCTTAATTTGCGCCAAACTCCTACCCAAATCGACCCTCGAAAAAAAATAGGTACGCACACAACATATCGCGATAATCACACTGTCTGCCCTGCTGGCTTACCGAGCACCCAGCCCAGTAGAGTCAAATATTTGGCCCACTCGGCCAGCAAACCTTTGTGAAAAGTAATAAGAGGCGATTTACGTATCTCGATACTCCCCGTCTCTGCATCCAGGACGCACTGGGACACCCGAACAGTCCTGTACGAGCCAGTAATGAGGGTCACCTATCCAAGTAACTCATGTCAGCGAAAGAGCTAAAGAATTCGAGGTAGTCCCATACCGGGATCAGCTTGTGCTTCTGCCAAGTAGCCTTGAGGGCTGTGTCGGTCGCCATGAGTAGCAAGGTGGTGAGTTCGCTGGTCAAGAGCATGTCATCAACCAGTTCTGCTCCATCTGCAAGATAGCAAATAGCGTGAGGCCTATTGGGATCAAGAGGACGATCATAGTTTGATTGGTTAGGGAGGTGTTGTCGAAGAACACCTTTGAGTTGCCAGTTGGCGTTCTGTTCACCCAGGCGGTTGACAAATCGGGAATTGCTGGGGCTGTTGATAGTTTTGTCAGCCCTACTGTTAAGTCTCAAGAAAGAAAAGGGTAAAAAGAGAAGAAGATGAAGAAGAAGAAAAGAGTGCCCATACTTCGCATGATGCCATTGAGTATGAGTGGTCATAACACAATTTCCCTGGGCATTTTCAGACTCAGAAAGATACGCGTTGATGCGTCTCCAGATCATTGTGGCCTCCCACTGATTATCGTTAGGGAACTCGTGGGAGTATTCATTGACGATATCTCGACGCTCCTTGGGCGGTGGTCTGGTCTCATCAAGCCACTGCTGAACGACTTTTGGGGGGATAGGTTGGATGAATTGTTCTGTCTGCTTGCCCACTTGGCCGGTTTTGAAGTCCATGTCTTTGCATTTGATGCGGCATCGACTGAGGAAATCCATGCCCACATTTTGTATGGGGACTGGCTGAGGGGATGAATGATATGACGGGCGATCTTCTCGAGATTCGCCCGTCTTTGATTGCTTCTGTGTCGATTCATGGCTGCTGCTTCAACTTGCTGGGTGTTGTTTTCTGGTCGCCTTTGACTAAGGGATCCTTGGGCTCTACTCTGTGGCGGAATCTTGATGCTCTTATTTAGACCATCTTGCTCTGAATAAGCGCCAGGTTCTTCACATATGGAGGTATCGTCTTCTTGTTCACGCGCTCGGCTATTGTGTAAACGCTGTCCGCTATGGAGTATTAAGCAGGGCTGAGTTTCAGAGGCTAAGGCACTGGGGTTAGCCGAGCGGTAGTGTATTTTATGGGCCCTGATTGGGTTTGTTTGGTTCCATTGTTATGACAACCCGCAAGCGCGTGGCCAAATATTGAGCCTCCTTGGAAACCTCAGTCACAGTGCCATCTCAAGATAAGCGCCAGGACTTCAGATACCTGACATTTTGCCGCAATGAGCTACGAATATAGCGATGGGGGTGTACTCCCTGTCAACTCCGGGCGGCTAGGCATCGCATGCCTATTATAGTCCCATGGCGGTTAAGGTATGAAGGCAGATAGATAGATAGATAGATATATAGACTGGGTAATGGTTTGTATCGTGGCTATATATTGCTTCTTCTCTACTAAAGTTCTATATATCAGGCATACCGGCATACCCAACTTCATCTTATCTCATCTATCCTGTACCGTCTTTACTTCAAATTATCCCAACGTTGAGCCATGGCAGAGTCAAAACTACCCAGGACCCTCGGGGAATGGGCTTCATCCGCGACCCGGCGGGCAGTTATCGACTCTTCTATCCATGACCATCCTCAGCAGTCAGGCTCAAAGGTGGAAGAGCCCCAGTTCTTGCTGCTTCGCGCAGTCTGGCCAGCCTCTCGCGAAGCTTTTGCTTTCAAGGAGGACTGTAAAAGTAAGAGGTGGATAGACAGTCAGAACCTGAGCAGAGCAAGCTCCTATCTGAATAATCTAGACGCCTAGAACAAATACATCGACTCTCTGGGCCAGCCTCAGGAAAGGATCATGGGAGGAACTTTCGCACTGGTCCACTACTACCAAAGGCTCTCTACTCGGCCAAACAAGAAGCCATCCGGGAACGCATTTTCCAAGGTTGATTTCAGTCCTCGAGTGACTCGGAGCCAAGCTCGCCGCAACCTTCCCCAGCGTCCTGAAACACCCACTCGTGCTCCTAGAGGTGGAACGAACGTTTCAGATGCTATGGACAGTGTCATGGACCTGTTGGAGGATCTGAACCTTGACCCAGATGCTCCAAACTACTCCTCAGGTTCAAGTCCACTCAGCACACTCTCCGGTCACTCACCCACCTCGGGAGAGAATGCGAAGAATGTTCAGACCGAGGATGAACAGATCGTGAATACCGCCTGATACTACTCCTCAATGCCCTCACGCTTCATTGCGATCTTGTGCAGGGCGAGTGGTCCCTCTATCGGCAGCCTTTTGTGGTGAAAAAAGCCAACGACAAAGTCTACGAAGCACGCGTGGATGGGCTCTTGCGAATCAACCAAAAGAACACTCGAGCTATCATTGAAGTCAAGCCTTTCATTCGGAATGCGTCTCCAGAGATCCTTGATGGAATTCGCATGCAAGAAACAGCCCAGATGGCGGCCTGGATAGCCCAAGACCCTCCACCCCTGACTGGGCCCGCGTCCAATAGATTCACACGTCTCCTGGTCTCCCAGGATCACGGCGAGATCTACCTTATCATTGCAAGTTTCAACGCCGAGTACGTCGAGTAAATCTGTGGCCGCAGCGTTCGAAGGGCAACCAAGGATTCATTTCTCGAGATGAACGAGTATGGCCCGTTCTTCGTCAAAGATTCCAAGCACATGAAGCAGTTAGGAACGATCCTTCTGGCCGTCTCGATTCAAGGGGGCTTATAGAGCGTGTTCTTCTTTCTTAGGCGCATAGTGTTATATTTGTTCAAGATTCCATCATGCTAGACAGTTTGGCGATGGCGTCTCCGGCGTGCAAGGCGTATTCGGTTTCCGAGGTTAAGGGCATAACTCCTACGATGAACTTAGATGCGAGCGAGCGTCAGCTCTCGACACTGTCTTATCACAAGCAATCCTGAACATGTAGAGTCCCTATAGCAATTTCCTCAATAAATTCACAAAGTCGGTCTAATCTTGCGACCAATCATTTTTGGCGCTCTGGACTTGCAGAATGTAATAACATGGAAACCCGGTGAAGAATTATGACTGATTCAAGTTATCAATTGGTCTGTTTCTTACTATCGTCAATCGTGGTGAGCTTTCCTCAGTAACTTTCAATTCGAAGTACCAAAGTAAAGTTGGCTCCTATACTCGCTGGCTCTTCGCTACTCGCGTTGCATCTTTCCTTTTATCCAAAAAATCTTCCAGATCAACATGAATTCTTAGACCTTTCGAAGTCATGGTCTCAAAGATACCCTTGAGTTCCGAAGAATCCATCTGTCTATTCAAAGTGAGGGAAGCCTCCATCATGACATCCTTGGACCAGGGACAGTGTCTCAGGGCTCTATACAGGGTATCCTTAGCTTTTGATCGTAGCTCTCTTTGTGTGCTGCAGAATCTGATCAAATGTATCCACAAACAAGTGTTAAACTTGCAAGTGTCGCTTGAAACGGCGTGCTCAAAAGCTGCTTTTGTTGTGTTGACGTTTCCCCGTTCGATCTCGTGATGGACGGCAAATATTCGACTACTCAGGCAATCCTGAGCTGGAGTCAAGACTGTCTCGTGCAGAAGCGTTCTCGATTCGTCAATGACGCGAAGACTGGAGTCGGCCCATTCGAAAAGTGATAAGAATATGGTGTTCCTCGGGAAGTACACCAGGAACTTCTTCAGCTGCTCGAGCAGATATGCGCGACGAAAAGGTCTTGGCTTTGTTAGCAATAATACAACAATCTTTGAATTAAGACTCACCCTCGGCTTGCGTGCAAGTATAGTAGCCTCGACGCAAACTGTAGTAATTGCTCATGAGCGCGAGATGCTTGGTAGCCTCGGGACTTGAACTCGAGACATGTGCGGTGCACTGTCTCTATCGCAGCCGAAATACTTCCTTGTGATGCCGACATCGGTTCTGTACAGCTCTCAGAAGTCAAGTACGACAGCAGGACTAAGCACTCGGTAGTAGTACTGGCATCCTCGAGGTTCGCGCCGGAAATAAAGTCACTCTTCAAAGACGAGAAAGTTCGGTGGGCTTTGAGAATATGTGTCGATGATACTTCAGGGGTTCCAGCCGACTTTCGAAGAGCATCGTCCACAGAGGAGCATAATCTTCGAGCTGCTAGCTGTATATCACCCCTCTGAAGTTCCATCCACGACCAAGTTCTCCAAAGAGCAAACACATCTGCTGTTGGTGAGTTCTGCGGTAACTCGTTAGCATGGCGACGAGTCAAAGTCGGAGAAGACAGATTACTAACCGACGCAAGCTCAGTCGCTGATGACAATACCTTGGCTGCAACTTCGTGATTTTCATTTGTATACTCAGCAATAGCGTACGCTCGGTAAAGACCAAGGTTCGTTGGATAACGCTTCAGTAAAGACTTTGCCGCTTTCTTAACACTGGAGCCATCTTGAACTTGAGACAATGCCAAATGATATGTGGCTAAACCCTCAAAGTTGGCATTGTGAACCAGTTGCTTCGTTGCGTTGGCCATAAATCCAAGTTCAATGTCATTCTTTCTATTCCTTGAGGGTAGATAGGAGAACCATTCTGAGTGAGGGAAAAGGACGTCGAGTGTTTCCGAGACGCAAAGAGGGTTCTGGTGGAAAGGAGGGGACTTCCTTTGGATCTCAGTCGGGTCCTCGTCTCCCGATAGTGGCGTGGGAGCACTGGACTCCATGTGCAATGTGAAACCTGCAAGGAACTGATCATGGTATGCCTCTTCGGTCCAGTGGTCAGACCAGAATGTTGGGGGTAATCCCTGGAATATCAGAAATGCGTCCAGCACTTGCTCCTGTACAGTAGGTAGCATATTCTTTGGGACGAAAAACAGAAGTGGCTCGATGTCAGAGAACATCACCACTCTAAATGGGTCGTCTTCTGTTCCTGCGTCCATGGTTCTAGCGGGAATTCGAGCCTGATCGGCTTGTGAGCTCTCTAAGGTTGCCCACCGTTTGTAGTCATCTCGGGACTGGTATTCGGGTCCTTTGATATCTTGTAGTGGTTCGGGAGCATCGCCTATTCCACCATCTGCTACAAATTTCGCCCAACCTTGAGCGTCTGCTTCTCCTATCCTCGGGACTTCGCTCTCCCAAAAGTCTCGAAGTGATCCGAAGGCTGTACTCTGGCCATCCAGTTGCATGGGCCGGAAGAAGTTGAGTTCTATAAAAGCCTGCCAGGCTGCGACTGCAAGCTCCTTATAACCAGAGTCATGGATGAACCTGGTAAGTCTCAGAAAGACATAGATAGCTTCCCTCAAGTCTTCGGGCTCGATGTTCACTTCTGATCGAGATATAACATGCCGTATTCTATCCAGGTGCATTTGCTTGAGGGTGTCAAAATGGAAAGCAGAAATATTAGACATGGAAAAATTAAGATGTGTCTTCCACAGAGTGAAGCTCTTATCCTCATCCTCGCGCAGATCAAGCCACTTCTTGGCGGCGACTTTGCTATTCCATACTTTTATGCCTTCCCGCATGAGAGGAATGAGCACTCGAACACGATCCTGGTGGTTTGATACATTAGACAAGGCTGATTCAAGCATATGCAGCTTGATCTCCGCAAAACTGTGTACCTCAGCTTCAAGCGCCTTGTGATCAATATCCTCGCCTGCTCTTAAAAGGGCATCTTGATGGTTTGCCAACTCGAGCCATGCATCTATATCATCTGGCTGGTCCTTGACACGCCTCGAGAGCTGAATTGACTTCCATTTCAGGGGATTATTCTGGTCGACACTGATATCGTCTGCAACCGCATCTGACTCGGATTCCAACTCGCTGTCATCGTATTGGCGTGGTTTTGCCTTCCCCTCTATGGATCGATAAGTCGGCTGCTCCTCATCTTCTGAAGAGTCAGAGGCTTGATGCAAGTGTTTACGCTTCTTCGATGAGCTTAGTGCCAAAAAGTCGCCGTCTTCTTCAACTTGACTATCGATCTCTTGCTTCCTGACTCTCAACGGTGTAGGTCTTATACGCCAGTTTCTGGAGCGCAGACCATCCCTATCTTTCAGGGCATATGAACCTTCACCGGGCATACGTAGACTGAACTGATCTCTGGGTCCATCGCGATGAATTACAAGACGACCTCGTGTGCCGAGGACCTTTCCATAACCATCACGATAGTAAACAGGAACCTGAGACCGGTCAAGACCTCCATAGCGAATGATTAAGGGATCCCCTTTAGTGTCAATGATGTACAGACGCGATGCATCGTCACTGCTTCGTGTAACTTTGGTGAGCGGGCGCTGCTCAAGTGCTTCAGAGTGACCAGTTTGCAGTTTCTCACGGTGTCGGCCACGAGAGTCTGTGCGATGCTTTTTTGACCGGTGATGGTCGCGATGTGAATCAGAATGGTGATGACTTCGTTTCCTCCTGGAATCTCGCTCGCGTTCTCGCTCTCGCCCTCGCCCTTCGTCCTTAGCACTAGATCCTGTGGGTGTGCCCCTATCCTTATCCTTGTCTTTTGGTTTGAAAGAAGAGAATTTGGGTGCTTTCAAGTCGGAAGTCTCGGATTTTGGCTTAAAAGATACAAATTTAGGTACCAAAGACTTGGTGTCCTCATCCTTGCTGGACATTGTGCTGGTAGATCGACAGAGTTTTCGTCATATCCCCCTTATTGTAAAGATGGTTTATGTGAGTTTGGGCAAGAGTTTGTGAGTATCGTTGTAGAAAAGAGGCTTGATAATAAGTTTAACAGAAACAAAATACAATTGTCTCCTTGTAAGTTGACTGAGAGGGCGAGTGTGAGAAAGCGTGTCAGCCTCAACTTTCAGCCACAACGAAATGAAATACAGTGCGATGCTACTAGATTTTACACTATGTATCTATTCATCATCGGCCTTGATATGTCCTTCCTCTAATACCTTAGTACCTATTCTTATGGCATGTCAAGTTTCTGCACATTCATATCAGATTGTCTTGTAGCAGGAACGGAATTGCTACAGCATCTCATTATAAAAATATTTCTCGTCACGTCCCTGTACCTGAAAGAATCATCACCAGGGCACCATCTTGGACAGTAACCCCTGAATTAATCTCGCCCATGTCCGTCTTACAGCCCAAGGAATCCAATCGCACGAAGCGAAAAACAAAGCTAATGGTTGATCTAATTGCATTCATCCAATATGTCAGCCCTAGGGACAGGCTGTCCATCCTGTAAGCCAGTGGTTGCATCCATCCATTCGAACTGCACTGGAGAGAGGTTGGTACCTAGGTTGTCAAAACCACCCTACCACCTAACGTTAGGAAAATGGAGTTATTATCGAGTGGGTTGGATGGAAGCTTAACGGCCTGTGGCGTCCACTTTTGGGGACCTAGATAAGCGGGGATGACACTGTATTTTAGTGGATAGGCGGACTTAGCAGGGGCTGTATTTGTATTACAGCTTAAAATCTCCCTGCTTTCTGCCCCTCGCTAGCTACAGTACAAGTTTATCTACACTCCTGTCCCTCTCTCGCCATGGATCTCTCCCCAACGACACTCGTTACTTACATCGCTATCTCTGTCGTGACTCTTCTTGTCGGTCGGCTCATCATGGGTTTCTTTGGCGGCAACAAATTCCCCGTCGAGGGCAAAGTATGTCCCATCATGATACGTCTCATGACCAGTCCCTTTCTACCACAGCACGACTAACAATGCCTGTAGACAGTCCTCATCACCGGTGCATCCGAAGGCATGGGCCTCAGCGCTGCCACTCAATTGTCTGCCAAGGGCGCAAATATTGTTCTCGTCTCTCGAAGCGCCAGTAAACTCGAAGCTGCACTCTTCACCGTCAAGGTCTGCTGCTATTATTCCATCTGCTTTCGCAATTACACGCTGACTCGACCCCAGGCCGCAGCCAAGAATCCCCAGACCCAACGCTTCCACTATATCGCCGCCGACGTCTCTGCCGAATCATACGCCAAACCTCTCCTCGAAGAAGTCATCAGCTGGAACAATGGTCAAGCCCCTGATATCGTCTGGACCATCGCTGGATTCTCCTTCCCCGAATTGTTCGTCGATATGGAAATGAAGTCAATGCGACAGCACATGGACGTCAACTTCTGGGGCACAGCTGAGATGGCACATGCCGCTATGCGCGAGTGGCTCGCTGTAGACAAGCCTGTCGAAAAGGAGCCCAAGCACTTCATCATGACTGGAAGTGTCTGTGCCTGCTATTCTCCTCCAGGATACACTCCCTACACCCCCTCCAAGTATGCAATGAAAGGTCTGGCCGAATGTATCCAGCAAGAAGTCATGCTGTATCCTCAGAATGTTCAGGTCCATCTAGTTTTGCCTGGCACCATTCTCTCCCCTGGTAATGTCCGCGAGAACGAGCATAAGCCCGAGATCACCAAGACCATTGAGAAGGACGACCCCAAGCAAACCCCAGATGAAGTTGCTGCGGTAGCTATCAAGGGTCTGGAAGCTGGACAGCACCATATTACTGTAAACTTCCTTGGTTCACTCATGAAGTGGGCATCTTTTGGTGGCACTCCCAAGAACAGCTTCATTGACGTTCTTGGAGCTCTGCTTGCTACATTTGTGTGGATCTTTGTTCGTCCTATTCTTGATCACCAGATCAAGAGCCACGCAAAAAAGTACGGCCACCCAAGCTTGTACAACAAGAAATCCCCAGGCGCTTAACAATGCATTGTCAGGTTCCAAACAATACAGGTAATGATTAGAGATACCCATTTAATAATAATAATAATGACCAAACCTGCTATGCTTTTCTGATGTCTATGTATGTGGTGGTATCTATCAATATCTATAGTCCCCGTTTATACGCCGCTCCATTTACCAAACTTGGTATATGACTTGAACATTTCCTTCACAATAGCACGTCCACTTCCATCCATGGCGTCGTTCAAAATCTTCCTCGCCTCAGGGGGTGTGATATCGAAGATGGAGTTCATGGCAGGCTCAAGAGCTTCTCTCACTCGGCGGGGCACATCAGCTTCAAGCTGTAACTTGACGTACTGCATCATGACCAGGTACATATGTCGTCCAGCTAAACGCTTCGCCGCATCTGTAGCTGAGTCAAGAGAGCTCTGGTGCTGAGATCGAGACACAGCACCTGCTGTTGGCTCGCAGATAAGAGTAACAAGACGGGCATAGCGATGAGCTTTTGTCTCGTGCGAGCTTTGGCTTAAGGTATCAGTAGTACTGTGGTTCATAATGAGGTTACGGAGGAGAGCCTGCATCGCTGACAAGAGAAGGTGGTGATGACCTTCAAGCCGGAGACGGTGTTTCTTGATGATAACTTCCATCAAATTGCACAACAGGGCAAAGGGTACTCTTTCATTGGACACTTGTTCGTCAAGCGTCTTCGTTGACAGGCTCAAGTCAGAGATAGTATTGAGCACCAACTCGATGTTCCATTGGGTCATCGACTGGGGCTTCTTCTCCAGGAGTGTGCAGAGAATACGACACACTCTGGTACAAACGGACTGCCTCTTGAGCGTCAACAGGGTTGAGGTCAGCTCACTGTGAGCGGTCGCCAGGTCAAACCCGGAGCCTTTCCCTTGTAGATCAGGGCATGCTACTCTGTGTTAGTTGAAACAACTTCAATGGCTTCAGTTGTCTTACCTAGGAGCTGGTTCACAACGGTATAGATAGCCGATGCTTGACCATCCGAGTCCGAACCTTGCACAAACACATGAATGAGGTCCCTCAAGTACGCCATCTTAGCGGAGGTGTCCATCTCCTTTGTAACCGAAGCAACATTGCTCTGGAATAAAGGCTCGCGAAGTTCCTGTGGTACCTGGCTGATGCTGTAAAACGTTGTTGGTCGGGGTTCTTCCAGATGCGCAGAGAAGTAGGTCCTGAGGAACGTTTGTATTTGCCATCCGCGGAGATCTCCTGCCGCCATGGCTGCATGGCTGCTCTTTTCCGCCTTTCTTATGTCCGATTCCTTTAGTCTGGAAGCCCCTGAAAGACTCTCCATCGAGTCTGCGGCATCGACTGCAGCAAGAAGCCTGAGGTCGGCGATGACATTGTGAGTCTCAAATGCCTTCTTCGTTTTCAAGAAGTAGCCAGTAGCTGCAATCACACAGTTTCCTAACGCATCCTTTGCTGCATCAGACACTGTGCTTAGCTCAGGATGGCTAGCGAAGTTTGGCGACTTCTCAGCCTCTGTGATTAACGCTTTCAAAAGGGTCATGCGGAAAGGCGACAAATCCCCAGCTTCTTCACAGTCAGAAATGAAACTGCGACTCTCTTCAAAATATTTGTTACTTCGCTCGTCCAAATGCTCCGCCATCTGTCGAATAGTGGCCGCCGCCATCATATAATATGCTTCGATCAGATCGGTTAAAGTGCCGTCTTGAGTAGGTGTTGAGCTAGAGATGTCTGACATAGCATCCGCAACATCAACTAAATGGGAGAATTCCATTCCTTCGTAGAAAGTCGCTCGGCCCATCAATTTAGTGGACAGTCCGAGAATGTATCTCCACCCCTCGATCGATACCCGTTTTGTCGTCTTTGCTCTGTGAGCATTGAGTAATTCCATAACACGTTCTCTCTGCGGTCGAGTAAAGGCATCTGTATGAGTACTGCTCAGGCTCCGAATCCAGGCCTGGCTGCTCTCTGCAGGCCATCGCTTCTCCTTTCCATCCTCTTCCAACGACTTGATCAGTCGGTCGATAAGGTCGCCAGCGACTTTGACGGTATTCATGTTGTTTTCGTTCTCAAGGAGGCATGCCCATATATCCCTCAAATGAGTGACTTCACTGCTGGGTAGAGATAACGCATTCTGCAATGCTTGGGGGAGGATAGCTTTGGTGCCATAAACGAATCGGCTTAAACGGCCAGAGCCCCGCAAAAACCAGGCCAAATAATGCTCTGGGGCAGCTTCTTCGAGGAAATCTGGCTTATAACCATGCTGTAAGAATGATGAAAGGTCTCTCCCCTTCAGGGACTTTGATGAGAGCAGGTCCCTTGACAGTCGAGTGGTGAAAGCATCCACCAGGCTTGCGGGCTCGCTGATATGTGCGTCATCAGGGCTCAAGGAAACCCAAGCTTGGCAACAGCATTTGAAGGCCTCATACGTTTCCTTAGACTCGAGAGGTGACTCAGACAAAATCTTCGTCAGTTGTCCTTGGACAGAGGCCCAAATTTCAGCTCGTGACTGAGGGGTCACCCAAGAAACGGTCTTCGACACAACTCCCCACTTCAGTGCTGTCAAGGTGGACGACGTCTTTTTCACTTGGCTTACCAAGTCAAATAGCTTACTGCCAACAGCATCCACGTATGTCTCGCTTCGAATGCCTTGAGCAATGCAGTCCAAGAAGAGGCAGAGTGCCCTGGGGTGCAGTTTCTCTTCCTTGACCCACTCCAAAATCTCCAGAAGCTGCTGTGGTGACATCTCCTTTTCAATCAAGCTCTCGAATGAAGTATTTCCCTGCTTCTCTTGGCCAACCTGAAGCCATGGTGGGGCAGTCTTAGTCTTCTGCTTCTCAACCTTACAAAGCTGCTGGAACCACAACTTCAGGAACCCGACGAAATCTCGTCCGGTTCGGTATACTTGAGCGATGGCTTGAATGATTTTGGAAACTGATTCTAGATCCTGATGCTTAAGCTCTGAGGAGACGCTTCGCTCGCAGACGGTCTCTAGCAGGCTTTCGCCTTCGGGGAGCTTGAACACGTCAAAATCACAACCAGCGATGACTGCGGTTAAATGCCAGTTTATGCTATCCTCCTGTAGGGCATACTCTCGACAAACAGAACGCAGATCATTTGTGTCGATTGACATTGACTTTTCGGCCGCTCGCTCCAGAACAGCCTGCACCAGCTTATCTCGGTTCTCTCGTCCTCTTAGCGAGCCTTCCACAATTTTGAAGATCTGCTTCATCCAGTCGATATTTCCTTTCCGTAACCTTCCTTCACTAAGAGCATCTGTCACACTTGAAGCTAAGAAGTACAGCGCAGGAGCTGCCATTTCAAGGTTTTTCTCGGCTGCATGGAGTGCTCTGGCGATGGGTTCCATATCTTGTCGATTAATGAAGGCGGCTCGGGCGGGGAGTATCAAATTGCGATGCATGAGATTTTCCAAATCGATCGTCCATTTCGCCCGTAGGGGGTCTCGTGTAACCCTGTCGTGTGATCCATCGATACCCTCAAGTTTGCTGAAGATGGCAGCGGATGGTGTGAATAGCTGTGCTGCGACCTCCAGTGTATCATCGGTTCCTTGCAAGTGCAAATCCCAGGTGGATGATATCGTCTCGATCCAGGATTCCCTCCCTTCTTGCTCTTCACCGCCAGTAAGCGCAACATTGCACAGCTTTAGGGACAATGATGCCAGGGTCGCTGCATCAGCTGCTGAGGTACAGAACAGAGATCGGATATGCTCTGCGCCGATCTTGTCGTGGGATGATTGCGTGGCAGATGAACGGAGGCGGTCCAGTAATGTCTTCAGGGCACTGAGTAAAGCATCTCCACTCATAAGACACCCTTCGGCATCTCGTAGAGTTTCGAGGTCGAAGCTCTTCGTTGGCGACCGCTTTCTCTTGGAGGAACTGAATGATGAGTTCGTAGCTGGTTGTGAGATATCTTTCAGAGTTTGCTGCAGTACTGCAATGAATCGTCTATCGGCAAGAGACTTTGCGAGTGAGAATAAAGGAATGCGCTGAAAGACACATTCAAGAATAGTCCAGGTCAGGGGCCAGCGTCGCAAAGTTTCGGCATCTTTTGATGCGCCGTTCATCGACTTTAGCAGCCATCGCAAGCTGCTCTCCTCTGCAGCATGGAATTGGCTATCTGCTGATACAGTCAAACTCTTCCATAGTTTTTCTAGATTCTCTCCATCTTCGCCTGGACCGTTTTGGTCAAGACCTCTCACAGTCTTAATCAGGTCCATCTTTTGCTGTAGCACGTGTAAGCATTCACAATTGGGAAGCACGCAGCAAGAGAGTTACGTACTAGAAGTGAAGGATTTTCTTGTGAGGAATCTTCCGCCATTTCCACATCCATAGCGACAGTCTTACAAAGGAATGATTGAAAAGAAATGGTTGAGAAAAGAAGCTATACAAGCCTCGATCTTTGAATGCGCCCCGCGACTTTTCCTGAGTTCCACCCAAAATTTCCAAAATTCTGCCACAACGCCAAGCCGTTACCGGCTCACCATGCTCACCGCCTACAGCCCGGCTCTTGTCACCCGGCTTGTTCCATATTCAAGCTTGACATCACGTCCATAGATAAAGCTCGTTGCAGCTCTTGATTTCGCTCGTCACGACCGATTGCACGACCTAAGTATGCCAATTCCTTTTGTTCTATTAATCTCCGATCAATGAAACTGACGCAATACTTCACAGTTCAAAATGGCCGATTCCACTGTCGCCCGCCCTCCTCCCAGCGCCATTTCCCGGCCGCTTAGCGAGTCTCTTCTCAATGAGAAGGTAATCACGAGACCCGAATACTTCAAACGGTTTCTGTACAAAGTTCCAGTACTGACTTAATTCTAGTGGGATCGCTGCCTCTCCAACCTCCTTGTCAAGTCCTCCCTCGGTCTCGGTTTCGGCGTCGTCTTCTCCGTCCTTCTGTTCAAGCGAAGAGCATGGCCCGCATTCGTTGGTGTCGGCTTCGGTGCTGGCCGGGCCTATGAGGAGTGCAACTTCAGCCTGAAGCAGGCTGCGCGAGAACTCAAG